TAAAAGTCAAATTGATAAAAATGAAACCAAAGTAAGTCTTAACTGTTTAATCCAAAATCTAAATCGAATGTAGCCGGCCAAATAAATGAAAGCACAAACAGCAGCATAAACCCGTAAGATAGATAATAAACAAGTTTATGTATGCTAGAATTATCGTTTGCAAAAATACTTTAAAAATACTTCACTTGAACTTTCTTACCTAAACAATCATATGTCGTAACACTAATCCAGTCCCTAGAATTATTGTACATCAGTTTCATGTCTTGCACGGAACATTTATATTTCAGAACATTAGCTGTCCAGGTTGAACATTTTACTACTTGACTGTAATGACTGCAAAAGTAAAATCCTCTAATATGCAAAGTGATTTCAAAAGCAATAGGGTGTTTGACCTAATGCGATGTTCGAACCACCATCAACGATTTGGTGTTGAGGTGAAATCCATTGTTTCAGGGGCTGCAGTCAAAGTAGTTAATAATGATGGACATCATTTGGTTGAATTGAAATAATTAATTACACCATTTCAACCGAATGGTGTCATAATCCGAAAAGGGATTTCTGGAATCACTGTATTAATTGAACTAACAATGGGAATAAGATATACACTTCAGCTATATCTACTTATATATAAAATCTCTTCCAAAAATAATATGTGTTTAATTTGTGTCGTCCGATTTGAATATTTTGCCTTATTCCGGAACAACCTTGTTCAAGTTGTGGCCTCGCAAATTCTTCCAATGTTAGTCATGGCACAGTATAATTTGTTAATTTGCTCATTTAAACAGGAACACTCTACTGGGATTTAGACGTACTGATTTTTTTCTGGTAATGTAAAGAGATTTTCTAAATTTATAAATGTGTATTGGGAACACTGATAGCATCAATTTGCACCAACCAAAATTTCCATCAGACGTCTATGGTTCCTGCAATTTCACTAAAAGTAGTGATTTATCGCAAAAGATGCTTTATCACAAAAAGGGCGATTAATGACGTTCATAAAACGCTTGTTTTAGTGGAATTGTAGGAACCACTGACGTCTGATTGAAAATTGGAATGGTGCAAATTGATGACATCAGTGTTCTCGATGCACATGTAAAAATTGAGAAAATCTCTTTACATTATCAGAAAAAAGTCAGTACGTCTAAAAAAATTTGTTAGAAAACCTATTTACATATCATTTTAAGTATTTTACTTACTAACACTGGTCCTCGTGAACTGAAGCTTTATTTGCAGCTTTGATAGATGAATTACAGACACTTGTTATCATTTCTTTCCACGATTCCAAATCAGGACATAACGCTCCTGGTGCAATCCCTTGGGTTGTAAGGGGTGTATTTGTGGTCGAAGAGTAAGCTGCAGTTTGAATATTTGCACTTGAGGTTGTTGCAATGGAAGAATTTGAAGATCTATTTGCAGCTGGTGTAGTGGCCGTGGTTACTGTTGATATAGTTTGATCCGGTGTCGAAGATGGTGAAGTGGTCGGAATTGAGAGAATAGCTGATGGTGTAGTCGAATTCATGGCTGGAGCCGAAGTTGTTGCAATCGTTGTTGATTCGGTTGGAGTTGGTGGAGTGGTTGAAGTCGAAGTTGCTGCAATCATGGTTGATTTTGTGGTTGGAGTTGGCGTAGAGGCTGAAGCCGCAGTTGTTGCTATCGTTGTTGATTCTGTGTTTGGAGTTGGCGTAGAGGTTGAAGCCGCAGTTGTTGCTATCGTTGTTGATTCGGTGGTTGGAATTCGCGTAGAGGTTGAAGCCGCAGTTGTTGCTATCGTTGTTGATTCGGTGGTTGGAATTGGCGTAGAGGTTGAAGCCGTAGTTGTTGCTATCGTTGTTGATTCTGTGGTTGGAGTTTGTGTAGTGAGTGAAGCCGCAGTTGTTGCTACCGTTGTTGATTCCGTGGTTGGAGTTGGTGGAGTGGTTGAAGCCGCAGCTGTTGCTATCGTTGTTGATTCTGTGGTTGGAATTGGCGTAGAGATTGAAGCCGCAGTTGTTGCTACCGTTGCTGATTCAGTGGTTGGAGTTGGTGTAGTGGTTGAAGCTGCAGTTGTTGCAGTTGTAGTTGAAGTTGGTGGAAAGATCGTAGTAGTAGTAACTGCAGCTACTTCGATGGCATCTGCGTCAACATCTATTACTGGCAGAGAACTTGTAACTCCCAATTGATCTTGTTGCTTTTTTAATTCTTCTATACCCTGTTTTAGAGCCTGTGCAACTATGTACGGTTTATTCTTTAGGTTCAGTTTCTGCTCCTCTAGCTCTTCTTTCTCTATTTCTGCAGTAACAGAGCGTAGTTTGACGCTCATATTTACCTTAATGCTTCCTTCACTGTAAAGATAGGACATCAAATTCTTATAGTTTTTTATTACCAATCATACTTTAGTCTCAGAAACGGGAATTTTTTTTAGCTAAGCCAATCGGTAATAGAGTTCATAGCTTACCGTCGAATAGATACTCTGTGGACTGTGATATATAGAAAAGACATACAGAAATATTTAAAATAATTACATATCATTTATTTATTTACGAAACCTGAATCAAAGC